CTACTGGTTCATCTCAAAAACGCAAATCGTAGTTAGTGATATAAAGTATGCACAAACCTCAAGATCAAAACAGTTTGTCAACAGTAACAGTATCATACACATACAGTATGCACACACCAGCCCAGATGCATTTAGAGTGCAGGAACATCTGTACCAGATGTTGCAGGTGTGTTGGATAATGGCAGAGAGTATGGCAGCCGGACGTTGCTGCTATCAGGTCACCTATGCTGCATCTTCTTCTTTTCATTTTCAAAAGAGAATTGCCAGCCCAACATTCAGTTGCAGGGCCAGATAACGTCCCGGATCAGAATCATTTTAGTGTGGGTTTCCATGAACAAAAGTAAAGGTCTGGCATTATGATATTTGCCTGTTAGTCAAAAGGTTAATACATGCAGCTGTTTTGAGGCAGGTACAAATGGTGTGCCATTTGCCAGTGAGCAAACTGCACATGATCTGCAGTTGCATATCAAATAGATCCATGAATTTGCTCCTCAAAATGCGGCCAGATTATCCAAAAAACATTTCTTTCCAAACAATGACTTTGAGGCTTGTCAAACCTTGCCTCTTTTTCTACTGGCAACCAGCTCTACCCTGCTCTTTCCAGTACCTCAGATGTCACACAAACACATCTTTCCTTCTGTAAACGTACAAGGAATACACTGTGGCCCACATGTAGAACAGGAAGAAGAGGTCTATCCAGCAAGCGGTGGCAGCTGCTTCCTAAAAGTAGGATGCAATCCTGCAGGACTGGGCAGTGTAACTGTTTAAGCAGTCCTGCTATGTGTTTACAGCCTCCCCATCTGATCCTGGGACAGTTTATGAGAGGAAATGTGTCTAAATAGGCTCAATCCCTGGACAACTGTGGGAGGTCCCCATGCTCCGAGCACCAGAGACCATAGGAGAGTGAGCAGGTCAATGATCGGATGTTGTGATTGGTAGGTCTGTAGGATGAAGAACCTCAGAGACTGGGGTAGCAATCTTTGGTTGGCAGTAAAAACATCAACAAATCTTTGAATGAAACAACAAACCCACTGCAGCATCTTAAATTGTTTACAACAATCCAGGGTTGAGATCTGAAGGAAATCTCTAATGAAAAAGAAAAAAAACAGTCCACTGTCAACAACACAGACCAGTTACAGTATATGCTAGCTTTTGCAGAGGAGCCTACTTTTCATCTTCTGAAATTTCACTGAAGGATTCGAGATCTGTCCATTCATTCATCCATCACCGGCAATTTTAGAAAGCACTAACTAAGTCTTGTAGGCATTACATGTTAGGCTATGTCTTTAGATTACCCATGTTATCATTTTACTGGCTAATCAGACTTTGCACATACCCCTGAGAAGACACAGGCGAGGGGCGCATATGGAAGTAGATCCCCACCATAACGTTCGAGGGTGCTCTAACCACATTTCGAGCGCTACTTAGTTTGCAGCTCAGCGCTTGAGAGCATACAGACACAGGTCTGTAAGTGCAAATACAAAGTGTAAACCAGGCCATACGTGCTCTCGTTTCTTATTCTGAAATTGTCATAAATGTATAAATAATACGTTTATTAATGAGGTCATAATTAAAGATGGTGTTGTACTGGACTGCATTATATTTAGAGGTGTCTCTATACTTTTGTCCTTCCCAGCTAAATACATGAAAGGGTCACATTATTGGGAACACCTCTGAATATAATATAGTCCAGTACAACACCACTTTTAACTAAGACACCTCAATAATAAGCAAATGAATTTATATATTTGACAATTTCACCTAAATCCAAAACATTTTGAGCTTCATAAACATAGATATTAAGGCAGAGGTTTTGCATTGAATTGCATACAATTGTACAGGTGTGCCTAATAAAGTGGCGGAAGCCATCTGATCCCAAAGAGCAAATGTGTGCACACAAAAAAAAACAAGAACAAAAAAAAAAACAGTTGAGGGAACTATGGGAAATGTGTGCCAGTCTGCTCGACGACTTCTTTTGCCACAGAAGCTACAGTCTCAACAATGTAGCAGGAGCCACAAAGCAACCTCAGACAGACAAAGAGACAGACAGATGTACAAGAAAACAAAGACAGATGGCGACGGCCACAGTAACAAGTAACAGACAGTGGCTAGTGGCCATGTTTGACCTCAGTCAGCTATTTCTGTCTGATCCGCATCTTTGTCCTGATCTGCAGAATCACACACACAAGAGTGTTGAAGGTGGAAACCAGGGCTAAAAGCAGCTGCTGACAAAGGACAAAGTTTGGTAGCCAGAAAGGAAGTTGATGAGTGTGCACGCATGCTTAACCTACATATACGTGAGTGAACACATGTGCTTTTGTGCACAGACCGCTGCATATTGTGCAATCTGTCAGTGAACTAAGGTAGCCTCTGCCTGACTGAGGGATGTGGTCAGCAAGAGGTAGGAGGGATGAGGAAACGGACACAGACAGAAAAGCAGACAGAGGGGGAGAAAAGCAGAGACGCACAAGACAGCACCAACACAGTCGCAACACACTCTTGATGCCTAACTCATGCCACGACCTGTCTCTCCTCATCCCCACCTCCTATCTATTTTTCCCCTCCTCTTCCCGCCTGAGTGCGAGACAAAAATGCAGCAAGACATCAGTTGTTGCTATGGCAACAGAGGACATCACAAGTGAGAACAATATGGATGAATGCCACAGTGAATGAAAACAACACAACAGAAGATAATAACCACCAATACATTCTGGACCAGACACCTGTTGGACCCAGCTCCAGAAAACCCCTCTGTTCCCCACTGCAGAGGTAAAGGATACAGTGTAAAGGAAGGCTGTTGTCATGGTTACAACACAGGTAATGCTCAGGTATCACAATGTCTCTACACCAACTTTTCACTGTAAGGGTTGTTCATTTTATCGCAGTGTTGACATTTGGATCTATAACCATTTATTTATAGATCCAAGGATCCTGGCATCCATCAGGAAAACACTGCCAATCAATGCTTCATAGTTTTTGCATGCCAAACTTCTATTCAAATCTGGACCACAGCTGCTCTCCAGGAGCAGTAACATTTCTTTAAACACATCATTCTGCCATTTCCTTCCAGCAATTTGGTATTTCACATCCATAAAGTTGGATCCGACATGTCCCATAATGCAATTCAATAGCACCCCTTTCTGCCATTTGACCCTCGCTACCTGGTAAAGTTAATTTCACAGCATGTGGGTTGGGTGGGAGAGAAGATAGATTCCCATGTTTATGACTTGGAAGCTTTCACTCAGGAGTTTCCCGGTCATAATTAGGACCTGAATGAGTCAGAATCTCATCCTATAGCATATCAACACAGCATAAATAAACTCCATGTCGCCAGTTTGCATCACAGGCTTCTTGTTAGAAATCTTTATACTCCACGGCTGAGCCATGATGACCCTGATGAAATCACCTGGGTTATTTGTTTTTTGTTTTTTTTAGCAGGCCTAAACACAAATCACAGACCCACCACCTAAGTCACACTCCCCCTGTTGGTTTTACCAAACCTAAAAAGTATAAAATCAACAGAGCAGTCCTTCAAAGAATACTACTGCCTGCTGAGAGGTTCTATAATCTAAATGTAACACCCTAAAAAATCCTATTTGTTGATTCACAGAGAGGATGCATGGTAATTTGGAAACAACAGGATCTGCCTTTTTTGCAAGACCACCATATGGCACAGATTGCCAGTCAGCTGCTAACATGACTGGCACTAACTGAGGGCAGCACTGATTCAAACAGGATTCGACAAGGATTAGGCAGAAGCTTGCAAAAAAAAAAGTAAATAAATAATAACAAAAAAATTACAACAATAGTTAACTAACTGAACTAGCACATAATTTGAAACAGGAATGATTATTTCTGTTCAGCACTGAGATGGGCACATTAAGACCTGTATATAAATTCAGGCCATGTGGCAGAAAACAATAATAATAATAATAATAATAACCTCACATTATTCCAACCTTGCACCCCATGCCTGCTCATGTGGCTGTTTATAATGTTGTTGGCAAACTAACTGGAATTATTCACTCACTCACATGCACTGCCCAAATTTATTTAAAACAACAAGCTACAGAAAGTGTGGTGTTGACTTTATGACACTTGTGGAGCAGGACACTGGAACAATCCTCGCAGCGCAATGAAACTTTAATCGGCAACACCTCGTTGGTACATCCAACATTATTTAGTGTCGGGGGCCCGAGCAGATGTGCGTAAATGGGATCATTTACGGCGCGCTCCTGACTCACACATCTGACTGGAGAACAAACACCGGAACTCTGGGTTCTAATAATAATTCGTCCTTCCATCTTCTTGACGCCTGGGCAGAAGAGGGGATTGTGCAAGTTCACTTGGCAGACAGTCCACAGGCCGACATCTGGAGAGCATTACGTCTGCAGGCTCGGCGCACGGCTTTGCGCGGCAGGTTACTGACCAGAGCCTGCTTTTAAAGCGATTTCACACATGAAAGAAGAGGAAAATAGAGATTAAGCATCCTGGCACCATCAAGGAAAAACGTGCCAACAGGAGTTGGAGGAGGAGGCCTGCGGTTCCACTCAGTAGTGAAGGTAGATTGTTGGATGAAACGGGCCTGTGGGCCAAAATAGCTGTTTTAACAGTAAAGGAGCATGCTCGTCGTTGAGATCTGAAGGAAATCTCTAGCAGGAGATTAGCACACGACTGCAGAGGAGGTATACAGTGTTGCACGGTACTCCCGGTTTGCGTAACGTGGAATAGGTCTGTTTAAACGTAGCACCGAACGGGAGTCACACAGAGAGGTTAGCAGAAAATGCATGTTCACGCCCCTAGAATTGGTTTCTAACGTTTAAAATACGACTTCCAACATCAAAGTGAAAGACTGCACATAAAACATCTGCAGCAGCTCAGAAACCGTACAAGTTTCAGCAGGCTGGAGCCACGCACAGCACTAACTGTGATACACGGCTCCACCGCTTATTTACTGCTCCCAGTCGACAGTTGGCGTCTCACGTACACCCGTATCCTACCTGCAATCGCTCCGACGCGGGTTGCCACATATTAGCAGAAACGAAGGCTCTCCGTCTTTACTACAGCTTGTTCTCTCGTCGCAGCCCGGTTCACATCTGTTCGCTTTCACACCGTACCCCTCAGCTCGTCTCCAGTCTGGGCTGCTCGGCAATGAAAGATATTTTTTGCTCCGCCTGGCTGCAGTTAGCAGAGCGTCCAGCAGGTGGAGGTACCTGTGTTTGGTCCTCACGTTGCATTCAGGTGCTTTAGTAAATCGTGGCTTCGACCAGAGTGGCACAATGCGTCCGAGCTTCAGTTAAAAGCAAATTACTGTACATTCTAATAGCATCACTGAATATTGTGGGGAATTCTTAATGGCTTTTATTTCATAAAATGTCACTGTATTTTACAACGACAGCGTGAACACGGTGACTATATTATAAAAGTTATTATTTAAGCTTCCAGACATTACATCACATATGCATGCTGTTTTGCCAGGTCCCACATATAGCAGCTCCCATTCGCTGAACACAGCAACTTCTGGCTAATTGTTTTTAAAACTCTTCAGTTATGGTTTGCTCTTGCCATTCTCATCAACATAGTTTTTAACAGCAGCAGGCAGCTATGTCTGGCAAAGAAAAAAGCTCTGGGGAAACAACTCTCAATGGAAAAAAAAACTGGAGTGTTACAAATCTTCAGTAGCAGAAAGAACATCTGCAAGAACATCATAGTCTTCTGCTGTCATTTCTTATAAAAATATACACAAGTACCCAACTGTCATATTCAGACTGAATGATTTTTCAGCTGGGCTACAGAAGGCATACGTCAGGATATTTAGCACCATTATAAAAGAGACTTAAAGGCTTCAGAAACTTAGTCCTGCAGACCAGAGCCAGCCGGTGCAGGAATGTAGTTAAAATGGAAATGAAACCAAGCATAAATGGCACAGTATTATTTCAGTGGCTGGTGGCAATAAAAGTATGGTTGTTTAAATGGTTTTCACCTCATAATTCCCGAGTTTCACAAAGGCATGAAAGGACAAAATCTATAGTGATTTGCTGCAGTCATGCAAAAACATTTTTATCTTAAGTTTCTCAAAAACAAGTTGTAATTGAGACTAGTTTGGTATGAATGTTATTTTCACAGTGAGATCTGTAAATCCACTGACGCATCATCCATTAACATTCTTGATAAAATGTTGAATGCATTAATTTCCGCCCAGTATTTAGCTCCTTCTTGGGCAGTAATTCTGTCTTTCTGCTATTTTACACAACTACTCCTGGCCTGTATGACAAGTCATTGTATCAAGATTGAGGCTTTGAAGAGGACTGAGAGACTCTGTAATACCAATGTTTTGTGGGACCCTGTCAAGCCAAAGAGGAACAGAGGACAAAGATCAAAGACGAGGCCTGCCGAGCAGGTCATAAACAATATATGTAGGTGTGTTGAGTGACATCACTCTGCAGTCACAGTCTGTATTTACAGATGTTTACATGGGGAACATCTGGATACAGTCTGAGGTCCCTGAGTGTGTTCACATTACCTACACTTCATAACAGGTTCCATCTGTTGGGTATGACCTTGGGACCTGGGTCTACTGTGGAAAACAAAGCAACTGGTACCAATAGCGGGTAGAGTTGAGTAGAGTTGAGTTGAGCCTGTACCAGGCCGTGGAAAGGGGGCTCGTGCTCTACTAAAATCTGCTCTGCTCCGCCACTTTCTGCCCAGCTCTTCAGATATTTGTCATAATGAAGCTTCAAGAAATGAGAATGCAACAAAACTTACTGATCAAGTAGAATTAATTGAAAATCTCTGATTTACAGAGGTCAGTCCTACTCAAAACCTTTTAGAAGCTAATATCTCTACACTGCTGCCAGTGCTGTTCGATGAGTCTGGGTCACAGGAGGCTTTGACAGCACCTCGCCACATTAAGACAAGTTTTGGAGCAGATTTCTACAATAGAAATGTTTGAAAAAGTTGCATATTGTATCTATAACTTCTTCATTTGCCATGTTTTTGATTTGTATTGAAACTGAAGTCATTTTTATTTGGCTAATGTTTGTACACCAGCCTGTGTTTAGACGCCATGTAACATTTGAGAAGTATGGCTTCTTCTGTTACATGAATAAAGGGTGCTGTAGAAAAACACTTTAATGTACAGTTCATATTCTCAGAGTAAAAATATAAGTACTGGATCCAGCTATCCTATTGACTTAGTATTGTAAACTTTCAAACACCCTGCCCCAAATGTGACGCAGTAAATTGCAGCATAATCCAAATGTGGCACACTGGAACAGAGAACGAAAACAAACATCCTTGGAGTACCATAGATTATATTCACTTGAATCTTTATTATTCACATCATTCAACATAGATAATAGGTAATCATCATGTGGCTGCTGTATTAAAACAAGAGAGAAAAACAAAAGAAGATTAGCTGAGCCTATTGGTAAAACAATGCTTGACCTTGATAGGAACATCACAGCTGCACAGACAGTTTTCCATTGGCAGGACACAGAAGCACACATATTCTGGAGTAGATCATCCCCCTCTGCTTCCTCTTCCTCTTCTCCACTGTAAAGACAGCAAGAGGCCACTCCAGCAAAGATGTCTCATCCAGAAACTGTTCAACACTGTCAATACTAGAGGTGAATTTGTACACTGGGATAAACAGGTACACTGAATAAAACCAACTATTTTTTTCTGTGCACTGAGAAATATACCCACCTATTAACCTAAATGTCACTGAAATACATACAGCAGGATGGCAGAGTCACAGTACTTCAGTAAACCCACTTTCAACTCATACGCCACGGAGCAACTTGCATGTAGAGAACAGGACAATATGTATTTTAAAAAGAAATCTTCTGTGACTAGTACTTTTATACACGTATGTATTTATCTACTAACCACAAATTACCTAAATAAAATATTTGGCACAATCTTGACAGAGAGAAATACAAATGTCATGAGAAGAATTACAACCAAGAATGAAGAAGTTTGAAATCATGAAGAGAGAACATCAAATCTAACCATGCATGAAGTAAGGCAACCTACTGCAAAAGATTTTTAGACATAGAAAAAGATACAGTGTACACACCGAGATGATTGCACCCATTTCTACAACACCTGTAAGGACTGTTGTCAGCACTGTCTGCTGAGTTTACACTTAGAAATGTGGACCCCTGGGTTGCTGGCCCCACCTACAGACAGACAGTCTGGTGCAGACTAAAGTCATCACTCTATTAGACAGCAGAGGTTACTGCTAGTGTCACCCAACTTAATTAATGCAAAGTATGCTTTTATGCTACAATAAAGCCTTACTGTGGACTTTGACAGGAAAATAGATGTGTCAAACTCCAGATTGGTTCTTTTTAAACTACAGAGTATTATTTGTAATTTTCTCAACTTTACTTTTGCTGTTTTTTTCCTTAAGAAATACTAAAAGATTAATATTGACTATCTGTATACATGTGAGGGTTTAATGCACATGTCTACACGTGCAGTTGAATGTGTGCTGCCTGTGATATGCTGGGATGGTTGTGTTTTACAAATCCTTTGTCTTGATGAGGGTCACCAAAGGCTTGTCATCAGGGCTGTAGTCTTCATAAGCAATGGGAGTGGCATCATACATGGCAGGCCTGGATTTCTTGCCAAACCTGATAAGAGAGCACAAACGCCAACATCAAATACAGTTTTGCAATGGAGCCTGTCCTTTGTTGGCAATAGTGATGAAAAAGCGCAAACAAAAATTGTTATTAATGGGACACTTTAACAGATTTAATGTTGAAGGTCCACTTATTTACTTGTTCTGTAGCTTCTGACTGTCTCATACGATCATCAAGCTAAAGAACAACCAAGCAGTTGTACAGTGATTTGCAATAGTCTTTGTCTTCTACAGTAGTGAACCTTTAAGTGTAAAATCAAAGAAATTGTCTTTTAAAAAATATAGCAAGACTAATTTCCAAGCAAATGTGTAAACTGTGTGGTGAATGTAAAGCAGCCATTAGCTCCCTTTAGTAAATAGCTCTTCAGATATTTGTCATAATGAAGCAGAACATCATAGTCTTCTGCTGTCATTTCTTATAAAAATATACACAAGTACCCAACTGTCATATTCAGACTGAATGATTTTTCAGCTGGGCTACAGAAGGCATACGTCAGGATATTTAGCACCATTATAAAAGAGACTTAAAGGCTTCAGAAACTTAGTCCTGCAGACCAGAGCCAGCCGGTGCAGGAATGTAGTTAAAATGGAAATGAAACCAAGCATAAATGGCACAGTATTATTTCAGTGGCTGGTGGCAATAAAAGTATGGTTGTTTAAATGGTTTTCACCTCATAATTCCCGAGTTTCACAAAGGCATGAAAGGACAAAATCTATAGTGATTTGCTGCAGTCATGCAAAAACATTTTTATCTTAAGTTTCTCAAAAACAAGTTGTAATTGAGACTAGTTTGGTATGAATGTTATTTTCACAGTGAGATCTGTAAATCCACTGACGCATCATCCATTAACATTCTTGATAAAATGTTGAATGCATTAATTTCCGCCCAGTATTTAGCTCCTTCTTGGGCAGTAATTCTGTCTTTCTGCTATTTTACACAACTACTCCTGGCCTGTATGACAAGTCATTGTATCAAGATTGAGGCTTTGAAGAGGACTGAGAGACTCTGTAATACCAATGTTTTGTGGGACCCTGTCAAGCCAAAGAGGAACAGAGGACAAAGATCAAAGACGAGGCCTGCCGAGCAGGTCATAAACAATATATGTAGGTGTGTTGAGTGACATCACTCTGCAGTCACAGTCTGTATTTACAGATGTTTACATGGGGAACATCTGGATACAGTCTGAGGTCCCTGAGTGTGTTCACATTACCTACACTTCATAACAGGTTCCATCTGTTGGGTATGACCTTGGGACCTGGGTCTACTGTGGAAAACAAAGCAACTGGTACCAATAGCGGGTAGAGTTGAGTAGAGTTGAGTTGAGCCTGTACCAGGCCGTGGAAAGGGGGCTCGTGCTCTACTAAAATCTGCTCTGCTCCGCCACTTTCTGCCCAGCTCTTCAGATATTTGTCATAATGAAGCTTCAAGAAATGAGAATGCAACAAAACTTACTGATCAAGTAGAATTAATTGAAAATCTCTGATTTACAGAGGTCAGTCCTACTCAAAACCTTTTAGAAGCTAATATCTCTACACTGCTGCCAGTGCTGTTCGATGAGTCTGGGTCACAGGAGGCTTTGACAGCACCTCGCCACATTAAGACAAGTTTTGGAGCAGATTTCTACAATAGAAATGTTTGAAAAAGTTGCATATTGTATCTATAACTTCTTCATTTGCCATGTTTTTGATTTGTATTGAAACTGAAGTCATTTTTATTTGGCTAATGTTTGTACACCAGCCTGTGTTTAGACGCCATGTAACATTTGAGAAGTATGGCTTCTTCTGTTACATGAATAAAGGGTGCTGTAGAAAAACACTTTAATGTACAGTTCATATTCTCAGAGTAAAAATATAAGTACTGGATCCAGCTATCCTATTGACTTAGTATTGTAAACTTTCAAACACCCTGCCCCAAATGTGACGCAGTAAATTGCAGCATAATCCAAATGTGGCACACTGGAACAGAGAACGAAAACAAACATCCTTGGAGTACCATAGATTATATTCACTTGAATCTTTATTATTCACATCATTCAACATAGATAATAGGTAATCATCATGTGGCTGCTGTATTAAAACAAGAGAGAAAAACAAAAGAAGATTAGCTGAGCCTATTGGTAAAACAATGCTTGACCTTGATAGGAACATCACAGCTGCACAGACAGTTTTCCATTGGCAGGACACAGAAGCACACATATTCTGGAGTAGATCATCCCCCTCTGCTTCCTCTTCCTCTTCTCCACTGTAAAGACAGCAAGAGGCCACTCCAGCAAAGATGTCTCATCCAGAAACTGTTCAACACTGTCAATACTAGAGGTGAATTTGTACACTGGGATAAACAGGTACACTGAATAAAACCAACTATTTTTTTCTGTGCACTGAGAAATATACCCACCTATTAACCTAAATGTCACTGAAATACATACAGCAGGATGGCAGAGTCACAGTACTTCAGTAAACCCACTTTCAACTCATACGCCACGGAGCAACTTGCATGTAGAGAACAGGACAATATGTATTTTAAAAAGAAATCTTCTGTGACTAGTACTTTTATACACGTATGTATTTATCTACTAACCACAAATTACCTAAATAAAATATTTGGCACAATCTTGACAGAGAGAAATACAAATGTCATGAGAAGAATTACAACCAAGAATGAAGAAGTTTGAAATCATGAAGAGAGAACATCAAATCTAACCATGCATGAAGTAAGGCAACCTACTGCAAAAGATTTTTAGACATAGAAAAAGATACAGTGTACACACCGAGATGATTGCACCCATTTCTACAACACCTGTAAGGACTGTTGTCAGCACTGTCTGCTGAGTTTACACTTAGAAATGTGGACCCCTGGGTTGCTGGCCCCACCTACAGACAGACAGTCTGGTGCAGACTAAAGTCATCACTCTATTAGACAGCAGAGGTTACTGCTAGTGTCACCCAACTTAATTAATGCAAAGTATGCTTTTATGCTACAATAAAGCCTTACTGTGGACTTTGACAGGAAAATAGATGTGTCAAACTCCAGATTGGTTCTTTTTAAACTACAGAGTATTATTTGTAATTTTCTCAACTTTACTTTTGCTGTTTTTTTCCTTAAGAAATACTAAAAGATTAATATTGACTATCTGTATACATGTGAGGGTTTAATGCACATGTCTACACGTGCAGTTGAATGTGTGCTGCCTGTGATATGCTGGGATGGTTGTGTTTTACAAATCCTTTGTCTTGATGAGGGTCACCAAAGGCTTGTCATCAGGGCTGTAGTCTTCATAAGCAATGGGAGTGGCATCATACATGGCAGGCCTGGATTTCTTGCCAAACCTGATAAGAGAGCACAAACGCCAACATCAAATACAGTTTTGCAATGGAGCCTGTCCTTTGTTGGCAATAGTGATGAAAAAGCGCAAACAAAAATTGTTATTAATGGGACACTTTAACAGATTTAATGTTGAAGGTCCACTTATTTACTTGTTCTGTAGCTTCTGACTGTCTCATACGATCATCAAGCTAAAGAACAACCAAGCAGCTGTACAGTGATTTGCAATAGTCTTTGTCTTCTACAGTAGTGAACCTTTAAGTGTAAAATCAAAGAAATTGTCTTTTAAAAAATATAGCAAGACTAATTTCCAAGCAAATGTGTAAACTGTGTGGTGAATGTAAAGCAGCCATTAGCTCCCTTTAGTAAATACAAAAATAGCACCAAGTGACAAAGAATACAAAAGTGTAGTGTCTGAAGTGTCAGTTATATAGGTAACCTATTTCTGTCTAACAATTTGTTGTTAACACTCTTTATACAAGTCCTGCCACCAACCTGGCATGGCGGATGGAGGCGATGGCGTTACTGAACTCGCTGTCAATGCTGCGGCAGTTGTAGAACTCCTGGTAGGCGTGGCGCGATGATCCCTGGTACTCAATGCGGCTGATGCGGCAGATGCCAACAATAAGGATGATGAGCATGAGGACGAAGGCCACACACAGTGCTCCAATGATGATGTAGAGGGAGTGGCGGGGCATGTTGGTCAGGGTGTCTTCAGTGTGTGCTGGCTTCCACTGCAGGTCTGACACACACACACAGAGAAGTATACAGTACATCTTTACACACATCTCTTTTTAGATTAATACCTGAACATATTTTCGGTGATAGGCCGACTTACGGATCTCACAGCTGGGGCCTACCCAGCCAGGTGGACAGTGACAGGTGAAGCCATTTGATTGGTCAATGCAGGTGCCTCCATGGTGACACGGGTTGCTTTCACACTCGTTGACATCGACCTCACATTTGTCCCCTGAGAAACCCAGGTGAGGTTGCAATCAGTCACAGAGAGAGAAACAAAACCAAGAGCAGAAACTGAGGCTGATGGGTTACAGTGTTCTGACTCCTGGTGCAGTTGTTTTCAAACCCAGGAACATTTCAGGGTTTAACATCAAAATGCAAGATTATAATGTGTCGCTATTATTTCAGAAATCAAAAAATATAGAATTAGTTGGCCAACTCTATATTTTTGAGTCCTTAATGGCAAACCAATGAAGTTGATTTTTAAGGTGGTTTCCATGTAGTGACGTCCATTTTTCTCATGAGGAAAATGATATTAATAGACAGCTAGTGTACTGGTTATCAGACTGGTGCTGGTGCTCACCCAAATATCCAGATGGGCAGGCGCAGGAAGCGTTAAGTCCTGCACTCTCACAGCGGCCTCCATTCTGACAGTGCATCCTCAGACATGGATCCTTATAGATTTCACAGTGTTTGCCTGCACGGACACATACACAGCAAACCCATAACCATTTATGTTGTTGCATGTTTAGTACTCTGAAACTATATACAATACAATATAGAGAAGCTTTGCTTCTCTATACATGGATGTGTGCTTCAATCACACACTCCACAGTGATAAAGTGAAAACAGGCTTTGAGTATTTTGAAAATGTATTAAAAATAAAAGACTGAAATATCCCATTTACAGAAATATTCAGACACAACCCAGATCTTAAAATACATCCATGATGTCAATTAGCCAATCAGAATTCATGACATCATTTTTTGGAATTTTGCAAGCTGTTTAAAGCTGTTCACTTTGTCATTGTGGAGTACTGTATATAGATTGATGAAGAAATTTATCTAAGTGAGTCCATTTTAAGATGAGTCTGAAACATAACATGTGGAAACCTTCAAAGGGTCTGAGTACTTTCTGTTCTGACTGTACATGTGTACATACCTTCAAACTGTGGCGTGCAGACACACTCATAAGCATTGATAAGATCCCTACAGGTGGCATAGTTCTGGCAGGGTGCAGACAGACATTCATTGTACTCCTCCTCACAGTACAAGCCATGGTAGCCTTAATGGAAAACACAAATACACACAGTATACAGCTGAAGTCAGAAGTTTACATACTGTACACTAAGGTTGGAGTCATTAAAACTAATTTTTTTAACCACTCCACAAATGTCCAGCCTTTGTATTACCTGTACCTGTGCCTGAGCTGTCATTTCATATACACCTTGCACTCAAAGAAGGATTGTTTGGTTGCCTGTATATAGTATTACACAAATTATTATATGATCATGGATGTCCTACATACATTTTTGATTAATGTACTTCTTGAGCCACAGCAAAAATCAGACAAATGTGCACAAGACAACACAACAACTAACAATGCAATTTGGCTCTCGCTAGATACAAATACAACACCACTGAACTACAGAGACAAGTCATTAATTCTAAGTGTATGAATCTGTTGCAAGTCCAGTGTTTTGGCACTGAGTTTCACTGTGATGGAGCATAACGTCTAATGAAATGCAGTGCTCTGTGTTTTCCATAGGATGGCAGCTGTGTACTGAGGCAGAATAAGTCTGACAACATCTACAAACATGGTCCATGCACATGTAACAGACAATCTTTCTCATCAGTATTGCTAGAATATAAAAGGAAAAAAGTATAAGTGAGCAGCATTCAGAGATCGCAAAGCTCAGCCATGCTGATCACTGTCCCCATAGTGCCATTACACCTAGAAGCAATAGTCCCATGACAGTTTGACCCTCACAGTATGATTCTTTGACTATGAAAACCCCTCCTTAGCATTTGGAGTCACATTGATATCGTTGTTAGTTTGAAAGATATTTAAAAAAAAAAACAATATTTCACTAATGGTGATTTTCTTTGGCTCTAGCTCAGCAGCTTCTTGAAGATATGCTAAACTTGTTGACCCTCTAATGAATCAGCCAAATTTCAGCTACAATTTGCTGCTAGTTGCAAGTTTGTAGCAATATTTCTTGTTCCACAGTGGTGAGTTCTCAGTGAGCCCTATAAATGGGAACATTCTGGATCAGCAAATCCATAATATTACTTGGATCCAGATCAGTGTGTGGTAGATCTTACTGGATGAACTTTTGTCCAAGAACTGTAGGCATTATATATATGGCGTTAGAAGCAAAAATATCGAAATTGGTCCTATCTTACAATGGGGATGAATCCTTTAAAAATTCCAGAATCTGGACAATAATCTAGATCATCATAAAATCTAATGGATTGTTCCAGGGGCCATAACCTACCTCTTCACAAAACAAAACAAAACAAAACAAAAAATCAGCAAAATCCATTCATTACTTCTTTAGTTATACTGTGGACAAACCGAGGTTGGAGGTAATGAATAGTATGTTAACAGAGAATGTGCTGTAGCTAATGATATCTGTTTAGTTCGCACTGCTTCAGCACATGTGCTGGTTATGTAAACAAAGATTTAGGCAAACGCTGCAGGATAACATGAGTGGCAGTATATCATTTTGAAGCCAGTGTGTTTGTCTGAATGTCTTATAATACTCTCCTACAATAAACATACTCTGCATGTGTATTTAAACCCATCAATAACTGTTTGCATGTTCTCCCTGTGCCTGCATGGGTTCTCTCCAGGTACTCTGGCTTCATCGCACAGTCCAAAGACATGCAGCTTAGGTTGAATGGTGACTAAATTGCCCGTAGGAGTGAATGTGTGTGGTTGTTTGTCTACATGTCAGCCCTGTGATAAACTGGCGACCTGTCCAAGGTGGACCCCGCCTCTCGCTGTCAGCTGTGATAGTCTCCAGCCCCCCTGCAACCCTGTTCAGGAATGAGCGGTATAGATAATGGATGGCCAAAATCACCAGCAGACCAATGTCTCTTCAGTCTTCACTTGACAAGCAATCTGTTTTCATTAGCTCTGCTCCAACTTTAACTGACTACAATTCTCACTTTGGTCCCAGCACTCACTGAAGTTTCAACAAACTGTCCATGGGCCACAGCTACCATGTGTTTGGGGGTGGGGGTTAACAAGGAGCTCAGTTAGGGCCTCCAGGGTCCTCTCTGTTGAATGCCAGTGAAATGTCAAATGCCTTTCCAAGATTCAGCCTGCTTTCTGTGGGGTGGCTGGTGGCCTGGCAGCCTCTGAGCTGGATTACAGGAAACTGGAGGTTGGATCCTTCTACATATCAGCTCCCCAGCAAGCTCCTTTCAGACAACCAGCAGGCATTTACACATCCACACACTTACACAAGGCAGACAAGTACACAAACTGCTGTATTCATGTGCTCTTACACACACACTTATATCTAAGAGACCAGCTGTCATTCTGATGAGGTGGAGAAAAGGTCCATTTTAGTCCAAAACTTCGCATGCTCGCTGTAATCTCTGGGACGCTAATTGCACATTACGCAATCCCATTAGACAGGGGCATCTGAGTAGAGACATTTGATTGGATGGCACCATCTGCATAGTCATAGACACAAACAATAAATTGGGAGACACACATACACTTGCAAAGTAACTGCTTCTCCATGGCAACTCGACAACAGCGGATGGGTGAAATGAGGTGAACAGCATGAAGATAAGGACAAAAGGACAAAGAGGAAAAAAATAGAAACAAAATGCAAAATAGAGAAAGTAAGACCGAAGCTGTGGTGAAAGAAATATCTGAATAACTGAACGCAATAGACACCTCAACACAGCAAAGGTGAACTCATTTAAACAAAGCTGAAGAATATAAAGTAGTGCGAGATCATCAGCTCAAGCAATAAATCTTATTGTAGTTCAGGTATTTAGAAACACTTTTTATGCCTTTATAAAACAAACACTTCAAAGCTTAGATATCATTAAAAATTCAGATCAATAAATGAAAGAACACACATGCGCTGTAGCAATTGTTCTGTGCTCAGCAGAGACTAAAATGTGACGATATATTGTAAACATGCCCATATTCAGGGTGTACCCTGCCTCTCACCCAGTGTTGGCTGGGACTGGCTCCAGCCCCCACACCCGCCGACCCTCTACAGGATAATGGATGGATGGATGTTGTGTAGACGCTGCTGATGCAGATGAATGAATGCAAACATCAAATAAGAGATCGAGACGGTGACTGGCTTATACATTTGACTGAAAGACAGAGAGCAGGAGGAGCGAGTGTCAAATTATGTTCACTAGGAAATTCATCTCTCTCACCATCCCAGCAAGGTAATTGCAAGACAAGCCATCATTCCACTGAAATGATTTCATCACAGAGGCATCAGCATGAGCACCACAACAATCCCATCTAAAAACAACTCAGCATTCAGCCACACGATATTTACTGCTACGCTAAGCCTGAACCAGTGTTATCACCGACTATTAAATGCAGCTTATAAAGCAGGATTTCAAGTATTGATATGGACAAAGCAGAAATCAGATCAAATCAAAGTGGATGGATTTCTGAATAAGCGTATTAAGCACAGGCTCAGGGGTTCAAGGGCTCAGTGGGCCCTAATGACTTAATGTCTTTGGAAGCAACTGTTGTAAACATTGCTTGTTGAAAAGTCTGAGAGCTGAGCTGAAATTATACATGACCTGATGCTATTTTGCATTCCCCCCCCCCAATTTTCTCTGTTCTTGATTCTTGACCTTGTGAGCACGAACTGTGATAAAAATGACATAGTTATTCCCAAAGTTTTTGGCCACAAGTAGGCAAGCCGTGAGTAATACAAAGGCATGCACACACGCACACACACACACACACGCACACGCACACACACACACACACACACACACGTGTGAGTGCTGTACAGGGGGAAGAAATGGCTGCTCTGGTCTGTACTCAAGGTCCCATTGTCTCATAGTGATTTATCCATTCTTATAAAATTTGTAAGTGATACTGACAATTCTAATTTGTCATCTAACACACTCTTTTGTTATGATTTAGTTTCTGTACAACAAACAATTAAACTGAGGTTAGCTGTCCCACCTCAATTCAACCACATCTGGCTCTGTGAAGCCCACAGAAGTCTGACACGATGACTCACCTGGGACACACAGACACCTGTAGCTGTTGCCCACACTGCGGCAGACGCCATGAGCACAGGGGTTCAGGGCACAGAAGTCCACCAGCTGGGTGCATGTAGGGCCGGTGAAGCCTGCTGTGCAACTACAGCCAAACCCCAGGGGGCTGGGGCCCTGGGAGTAGCATGTGCCGTTATTGTGACAAGGGCCAGAGGCACACGGGTCCACCTTCTGCTCACATGTAGCACCCTGGTAACCTGTGAGAGGGGTAAGGCAGAGACGAGAATGGAACATGGGAAACCAAAACAATAGTTTATGTACCTACAAAACCACTAGCTCTCATATGTCTGAAAGAAAATGGAAAAAGCTCTGGAAAGATGAAAATGCTTGATATTATATACAACTATTTCTCAAAATCTCAAACTAAAACGTGGCCATTTCAAGGATTTAAATGAACCTAGTGGTAACACGGTAGGCAGAGTGGCACAGCAGGGGTTGTGTTTACTGGTGCAGCATGATATGTGCCATCTCTTACGGCATGAAATTACACCCACTCTTCAGCCCACTACGATCACCTCTTAATGCAAATGTGCTCACAGACTCAACATGTGATGAGTTTTGATGGTGAATAAACCTCTTTCCTAAAATGCCAAACTATTACTTTAAGCCTTGTGACTGTGCAGTTTTACAGAAGCAGATGTTGTGAGAGCCAGTGGTGGAAGAAGTACTCAGATCCCCTACTTAAACAAAAGGAGCAATACCACAGTGTAAAAAATACTCTAATATAAGTAAATGTCCTACATATAAAATCTTACTTAAGTAAAAGTACAAAGTATTAGCATCAAAACATACTGAAAGTACTAAAAGTAAAAGCACTCATTATGCAGAAGGGCACATTTATCATTAATGTATATTATATTATTGAGCTGTAATTACCACTGCATTATTGTGCACATCACATTTTATGTTGCAGCTGGTAAAGAGGGAGCTACACTTATAATTTGAAGTACTTTACATACTGCTGGGTAGCTTGTGAATTGTCTACCTGAGATCAATAAAGTCTCATGATTATACTGTAATCTTTAATTTAATCTGGTTCTGAAAAGCAACTAGTAACTAAAGTTTTAAAATAAATGTAATGGAGTAAAAGTGCAATAGTTGTCTCTAAAATGTAGAGAAGTCGAAGTATGAGGTGGCACAAAATGAAAATACTCAGGTAAAGTACAGATACCTCAAAATTGTGCTCAAGTACAGTACTTAAGTAAATGTACTTTCCACCACTGGTGAGAGCAGCACCGGCGATCATATAATATACTGAGTGCCAGTCATAATCTGCCGAAGCAGTTCATCCCTTCTCCTTTGCTGTTCCAGACAAAGTACTGCTGGTGGAGGGTGGATGTGTTTCTGTCATGCTTTCAGTGTGACAACGCCTGTCTCTGTTTGTGTGTGCAAACTCCATTTCCCTCTGTGAGGTACTGATTTCTTCTTCACCTCCTCTCATTAGCTCGTGAGCCTCTGCTACACTCACCCATCCTGCTCCTCTAAAAATAGCCTCTTTTCTTCACCGGTTCTGCTCCTTTGTCTTCACCTCCCATGACACTGTGCTACAGAGCAGAGACTCTCTTCTGTACACGCACAAACCTCCCTGTGCGTATGGAGAACAGCACAGTAAATACCTGCGTTGACTGCATTAGAGTGCACTCTATTGAGCTGTATTTATCTCAAGAATCTATTGATCTGCGAGACTTTATTTCACCCTGTGAGGACGACATTGGTCATTCGACAGCTGCAGAGAGACAGGAGGGATCTGTAGCCTTCGGAGGAAAATCCCACCCAAAGCTCTCTCTTTCACTCTCTGTGCCTGTTTCTGCTTCATCTGTTTCTTTTTCCTGTGCCTCCTTCTAACCTCTCTCATCTCTTCTCCCTTTATCCTCACTCTTGTACGCTTGCATACACACAGATGCTCACCCACATGCAAACATACACCTCTACACAAGTTTTTTTGTATACTGTAAATATGACAATTTGCATCTGTCATGGTTTTCATCTTCATTTAACGTATCTGCTCTGAACTTTTTTTGATTGCTTTCACGTCTTGAGCTCGGTTTTTCTCTCTGTCTTCCTCTTTTATATGTTTATTTGTATGCACATACAGTATATCTAAAGGTGCACACACACATTGTGACATGGCTGGCAGGCATTCAAACCTGCCAAGATTCAAAAGAGTGAACACGTTAAATTTAGCTGGCCCACTCGCTCCCCCGCCCCGCTAGTTCTGACTCGAGGCAGTCACAGCACTGACACTCACACTTTCTCTGGTGTCAGTGTGTGTGAGAGAGAGTGAAAGAACAGGAGAGAGGAAGATATAGTAAATGCTTGAAAGTGAAAGAAACTTAATATCAGTGTGGCAGACAGCGCACATTTTCTTGAGCACATTCCTATTATTAATAGTGTTTGTGCAGGATTGACTTCAGAGAGCGGTGTGGTTCATTAGTGTCTGATTCTACACTTCTGCCCAGAGATGTCAGTGGTATCTTTTAAAATTAAGTTAGTCAGGAAATGGACTAAACTGCACTAAAATAAGTTGTGATGAATGTAACATCCCAACAAAAATAAACTATCAAGTGAAGAGCTGTTTTAATCTATTGCTTGTGTCTGTGCAGGATCATACTGTAACCTACACTTCACCTTTGGAGTGTGGTTATATGTCTTTATCTATGGAGGGCACTGCTGTACAGAGTCTTAAATATCATCTGTTTTAACATTTCTAGACTTTTCTGTCTCTGAGGGGAAAAAAACATCACTGGATGAAAAGTATTTTTTCTACTTTTCATTATTTGTCTGTATTGAAACATCCTCCTCTTATATGTTCACAGTATGGACGCAAATCCCTCCTCATCTCATACACACAAACTGGCTTTTGCCACTGTAAATGACTTTCCTGTGTTTTCTGGAGTTTCATGCTCATAAGAGCCATAAACACTTTATTTCTGATACTCATCTTGGAACAGACAATAATGTGGTTTAACATTCACATAAACATTAATCTCAAACCAAACCTGTTAAGAAAAAGGGGGATACTTGTTTATGTGGTGTGTGTGTGTGTGTGTGTGTGTGTGTGTGTGTGTGTGTGTGTGTACTCTCCTGCAGGAGTGCGTGAGTGTTGTTCTGATTGAATTATTGATTGATCACTCATTAAACAGCGAGTTCTATTCTGAAACTACCTTTTCTATTGATTTCACATCTTTTTCTGGTCAGTTACTGCAGACTCACCCTGACTTCCAGGTTTGGGGATTTTTTTGTGTATTTATTTCAAACCTTTGCTGCTGCAATATCAAACACATCACTTTTTCAGCGCTGACTTTATAGCATTAATCTGTATAAGAAAAACATAATATATTTCCTTGTTTGTTTTTAGTGTCCCAGTAAGCCATGACAGCAAGCGCCAGGCCACCAAATCTAAAACAGTTAAATGGAATTCATTATTAATTGCAAACTATTAGTGACTTTCCAACAATGAAACAGAAAACCTGCCCCCACTGAAATGTTACAGATTTAAAACGTACTTATCTGAAAGTCAGACATTTTACAGGCCCTCTACTGTAAATACAGTCTCTGCTGGCAGGGTTCTCACTGCCGCTCTCACAATTATTCTTCTCATCTTATAAAAATAAATACACAAGCAGTGGATTATGAATTCTCTTCCTCGATGGAGACCTTGTTTTGTTGCCAGCTGCAGATTAACAATATAGTCAATGAACTGACCACGGGGAGCTGTACCTACAACAATGAAACAGACCTCCTGCCAGATTTCACATCCATCTGCAGTTTCTTTTTTCTCCTTATTTTCCATTGTTACCTAATGTTTTCACTGTATTTTGTATATGCACATGTGTGTGTAGACACAGTCTCTGTACACTGTTGTTGGTACATAGTGTAAAGTAATCAAAAACCAATGTGCTCCTATTGAGAAATGTTGTTTTGGCAGAAGCTTTGCGGCCACAGATGTCCCGAGAGAGGTTAGTGCAGGTCATTGAAGCTATGAAGACTAATTAGAATAGAGGAGGGAGGTTTAAATTAAGCATCTAAGTGGCACAGATACACAGAGTGTTCATATAATTATTGCAATCAGACAGCAGAGAAATGTGCACACCGAGGCAGGATGAACAGACTTTGTTGAATCCGTATGTTATTCTTTCTCTGTCTTTCTTTCTTTTTCACCAAAAAGTCAAACATCACACATTTTATTTGCATCCTTGAAAAAATGTTGCCTAAAAATGTACTTCATATTTTAAACTGACATTATATTGCTGTGCAGTCACTTCTATTGTAGGCATACAAACCATATATTTCTAGCTGCTTCCTTCATTCCTTCTGACTACCATAAACACATACCAGTGAACACAAAGACTGGTTCCAGTGGGCAGTGACTGGGTTCATATGATACCTTCAGGACAGTAGCACCTGGGCCCAGGCAGGCTGCTGATGCAAGTAGCTCCGTTCTTACAGGGCTGAGAGAGGCAACGGTCAACCAGCGACTGGCAACGCTCCCCTTCATAACCTGAAAATCACATGGATGGTCTATCAGACCACTTTTTATGACATCTGGTCAAGGGGGCAGAGGGGTGGCATATTTGAAATACATCTGAAATACATGTAAAAAAAATAATTAAACCCCTAGTTCTAAACCATACATTATTAAGAATCTAACTGAGTAACGTACACAAACACACCTGGTGCACAGTTGCATGTGAAGTTCCGCCCTTCATCTCCCTGTCTAACATCGGTGCAGGTGCTGTTGTTGCGGCAAGGCCTGTGGTGGCAGGCGTCGTACTCCTCACAGAAGATCCCAGTGTAGCCATCCTCACACTCGCAGAAGAAAGTGCTCTGCGAAACACAAGCGCACACAAATTTCACAAGCCAAATCAATGAGCCTTAAAGGTGGAACAAATGGAAAAGAAATGAGATTGCAAACTGTAAAATAATTTAGTAACAAGCAGCAGTGACACAGTCTGATTCTCTCAAACAGAGAGGGGAAGGATCATAAGAGAAATGTCCTTGCTGGCTACACTGTTAATTCTTTAGCACAGTCACTGAAAGTCACTGCTGCTGCATCTCTTTTAGTTCAGTGTAGTCCAGACCAAAGGGTGTCAGGTGCTTCTTCTCTTGTTGTAGCTGGGCTTTTGCTCTGTCTTCAGAGATTTAATACGATCATCTTATTTTCAAGCCGACCCACATGCATTTTCATCTCCTCAGAATTTCAATAAAATAATAGCACATAATTCTGCTGCACTGCAGTAGTTTGTGGCATTGTGTTCAGACTTTGGTTCTTTTATCTGCTCTGCTATCAGGTGAATGTGATATGTTGCCTCGCTATTCTAATTTCTATTTGAGCCTCCTATAAGATTTCCTTTTCAAGTAAAAAAAAAATGACACTGCAAGATGCTTCTCCTGTGCCTTTCAGTTTTATTCACACTAAAGATCAAATGATATCTTGATGAGAAACATCTCGTGTTTGGATGATTTTACAGTATCTCTTATCTCTCACCTCAGAGGGCTGCGTGATACATTTGCCTTTCCCAGAGCACTGAGGGTCACTGAAGCTGCTGCCGGGCTCCACGCAGCTGCTGGCCTTCACTGTTAGGTTGAGACGCAGGGTGACCTCGGGGGCTGTGGGTGTGCCCACACGCAGCACACCTACCACAGAAGAGTTGAGAGCCTTATTAAATATTCATGTACCATTTGTATTCATGTATCACACAGTGAGGTTTTAATAATTTGTTCCACGACGGCAGATGTGCAATACTGATGTCTGTGGAGAGAAGATTCTAATTTAACAATAACTTGCAAGCAAACAGCTATTTGAACTTGCTATTTGCTGCTAGCGACTGGCACTGTGGATGTGGGTCTGTCTGGTCAGCTTGTCCTCCACTTCAGTCTTGAATGAAATATCGCAACAACTCTCAGATACACCGACGTGAAACTGTGCACAGACAGAGGACAAATCCTACTAACTTTGGTGATTTTCCCTCTCATATTATCATGAAATTGACATTTGTGATTTTGAGTGAAATGTTATCACGATTATTGAAAGAAATGCCATGACATTTGGGTTGCTGATATCCCTCTAATGATGAATTGTAATATATTTTTTGATCCTCTGACTTTAATTCTAGCACCATCATCCACTTTCATAATTTGGTTTATGGCTAAGTAGGTATAAAACAAAGTATTTTCATCTATTCCTAACATGGTGAATATAATAATAATAATAATAATACTTTATTTATATAGCACTTTACTTTAATATGGCAAATGTTATACTTGTTCCACCTCATAGAGCAGCTAGCATGGCTGAAGACTTTTAATCTTGTTATCACATATTTTATGACCCGTTTCTTTGCTGAAAAGTAAACCTTACTGCTAAAAAGATAAACACCCATGTGGCTCAAACTATTAAGAGCTGATGCAGGCAGGTCTTTATTGTGACAAAAATACAGTGTCTCTCTCCTTCTTGTCTCTCTCTGGGTCTGTAAGTTCAGAACACCTCTTATTATATCTTCAATCAAAGCTGACAGCTGCACGGGTACTTGGGTAAAAATAGCCTCATAGTGAACTTTAACTGCCATTTTTCAGACCCTGATGTGAGTCCACCGGTGATAAGACACTGAAGACGGAAGCTCCTCAGCCAATCAGAGGATTGATAAAACAGTGCGTGCTCCTCTGGCAACCCTGACCAAATGACCGTCAGCTCAATGACAGTGCACATTGAACCTGCAGAGTCACTACCCCAAAGTATAACAAGCACATTGCCAACATTCAGACACAGTGTTGTGATAAGAAGGAAATGCTCCGTCACTGCACTGCTCCTCCCTTCTTACCGAAGCTTTACACAGATTTTCCCAGCATGTATGCAGGGTCGCACACATACCACACACTTACAATCAGGTGTAAATGCAAGTTTTGTGCCTGTGAACAAGAGGCCGTCTCCACCTTGCAGTTTGACCTTCAGGCTTCTCTTCCTTCTGCAACCTCTCCTTTCACCCAAACCCTTTCCTATCTTCATCTCTCCCATCTCTCTCTCTCTGTGTTGCCAGTTACAAAAACATGTCAAGGTCAGCTGACAGGCATTGTAGTGAAACAGCACCAGGTATGTAGAACACACACAGAGGTCAAGCAGCCCTTCAGCCAAAGAGTGAGACTCAAGTTACCCTCCTCCATCACCCACTGCATCTCACGCTACTGTTTTTGGCACACTGGTGTGAGTGCTCTTTCACACAATCTGTGTGTGAAGCTCAGTGTTAAACTACAGATGGAATATAAACAAAATATGTTAATATGCAAATATGATTTTCTGACTCATATATGCAAACGTAAATACAGCTCATTCAATTAAATGCACTGATCCTCACAAGTTTTTGGCTCAGTTGTAAATGACCTATTTGGAGGAAATTCAGTTTCCAATTCACCTTCATTCTGGTTGTTGGATAAACTATCATAAAAGTTAGATGATAAAACAGAGATAATGACAATATTAATAAGACAGAATTGTCTTCTCTATATATTGTATTATTTTAACAAAGATATGACAGATTTGATGAATACATCCAGACTTATCAACTATTTTTCAATTTGTGCGACTTATTATTATTTTAATTAACATGTTTGTTATTGTGGTCAGTGACCCATCATAGTTTTAAGCCTTTAATTAACACATTCTCCATAAACCACATAATGGCGTTAGGATGGTCAGTTGTTGGATGGCCATTCTGTTTTAGCAGCTGCATGATGATGCCAAGTAATGAACACAAAACCCACATTTATCCAATCACACTTCTGTTTTGGAGAGAATTCTGTCAGCCGTGGTGTTTCACTACACTGGCTCAACAACAATTTAGACTGAATGATCTTCATCCCGAGTTCTCTTCAAACAGTCTTATAAGAAGGTAAAAGTTTTACCTCTATCAACTCTGTTGTGCTGCCTATTTTCATTTTCGCAGAAATAGTGTTGTAACTTTATAAGATGGGTTTCTCTGACCATAAATCTACTGAAAGAGCTTTAGTTTAGATTATCAGCTTTGTTAGTTCTCATAGCCTCCAACCCATTTCTTTCTGAAATCCTCTTTGGAAACCTTCATAGGAAATCTGAGACATCTTACTGAGAAAGTAGTTCTGTCCCAGTGGCAGTGAGTGGTCCGGTACCACCAGTCCATCAGGGGCCTGCAGGAACCACATCACGGTGCCATTCAAAATGGAGGGACGGTGGAAACCGTCTTCATTCACACGCCACAGCACTGGAGCTCCACTAGCATTCACCACCACCCTGGTAGGTGAGACAAAGTGAAGACAGGAGTCAAATACAAAGGATGAAGAAGCAAAAGGGAATCTGATAAAGGAGGGATTGGTTTGCAGTTTGGTCCAAACCACAAGTTTATACCAACTGTTAGGATCTGGTTTTAATTAGTGACGATTAGTGTTTTTTCAGTTTGTGCTGTAAATTTGCTGTGTTCACTGTGTAAATAGCTGATGGTGCCAGACTATTGTGAAATACACAATCTGCACCTTTATTATTTTGTACATCCAGGGGGCACTTGATTCCTCCCACCATCTTAAATAAAATTAAAATGTCAACAAAATCAGGTTCATCAAAAGAATAACGAGCTAGTCCTTAATATGAACTTCATCAAATCCTTATTTTAGTCAAAATAAGAAGCTTAACAAAACAGTGTTCTTCATTCTCCAGACGTGGTCATCAGAGGGGGCTCAACAGCCATGAAACCAAAAGCCAGTTTCACACAGATGAGCACTTTGTCTCTTGGCAAAAGAATAGTTTTCTGGCCTCATCAGGTCTGGTGAGTAATAGCTGCCGGTGTTCTGACTCAGTGGTGTTGCTTTCCTGTGGAGATACTGCCACCCTTGTGAACAGAGTTATGAAAAACAATTCATCAGGGCTGCAGACAATTTGTACGAAACGGTGAAAGAGCAACATAGACCGACGGGGACACTGAGAAATATGGAAAGAGACAAACAAAAAAGAGAAAGTGTGCAAACCATGACCTGTTGATACTTTGAAACTGAAATGTGACTCATTTTGTTTTGATATTGTATCTAAAAACAAGAACGTACCGATTGTCTTCCATGTTTGCAAGTTAATGCCGTTAACATGTGTCGCCTTTGGGTGACACCACAGCCTCTTATCCATTCACAACCATGAAGAAGCAATCCGACACATCAAAATCAAATAGCTAGATAGCCATGAAATTAACTGACCACAGAAATGTTCCCCGTGAGATGAACCCTCTCCATTCTGGGCACTAAATGAGGTTTCACATACTGCAGCTCCAGACCTCAGGTTGTCAGACAGATGGCTGAGGTTATTTACTTTGGTAAATGGTTTGGTAAAATACCTCTAATCGATCCAACACTGAATACACCTTTGTTTCTTTCCTCCTTATTTCATTTAATTTTATCAAGTTAAGGTCCCACTGAGCTTAAGAGAGACCTGGCCACAGTTACAGCACAATACAGAACACAACCACACATTCACATTAATTTTGCATTATAGAATTAAGATTATAACTCATCAGTAGACACCAAGCTGTTAAAAACAGACTTCCAAAAGATTTTAGTTCTCTAAGGACTAAGTGAAGAAACTATACTTAATAGATAGAAGTCATTCATATTAAACTGAGGAGGCGTTAGAGTTAAGCACCCCGACCAACATTTCCAACAACACAGATGATATTTTGGTGCAAATAAAGAAGGTCACAGCTCATTCCATCTTTCACATCCTGTAAAACACTAACATCACAGACCATGAGGACAAATCCTCTATCTGGACGCCTCCTGCAGTTGAGGATTGTGCTGAGAGGAAGATTTTGAGGATGAGTGTATCTGTAAACATCTGAGCAGAGCAGCCAGGCTCCTGCTGAGTGGAGTGAGGAGAACGTCTCAAGCCAGTGATGCTGAGCCCCGACAGCCGGCGTGTGGCCTGCCGGGGAGACAACAAACACTAGAGCCGAGCCTGAGTTATCACGCTGAGTCCTCATGAAAGAGGAATAGGCTGAGTGAAATATAAACTGGGGCTGAATGGGCGGTGTTGAGGAGCTTCAGTGAGGCTCCTCAACAGTTAAATGCTTCTAAGCACCCCTCTTACCTCACGCCCACATCTAAAATAATCATTCTCATATTAACCAAAACAAATTTTAAAAGGCCTGCAATTATCCTCTCAGCTCTTGCACTTTATGTGCTTGCTTTAATGACCGCTTGCATACTGTAGCTAACAGGAACAATAATTATTACTATTACCTACTACAGTTCTTTTCATGCAAAGAGATGCAGCTGAAAATACTTTAACAAGAAAATAAGGATTAAAAACAATAGATACATGATATAGGTGCACTTCAGAATCAGTCACAGTATTAGCGATGAACCATTCAATTCATTATTAGAAGATAAAATGATAATCAGTGAATCTTAAATAAAAGCAAAATATACAGTTGTTTTTGTGAGGTTTTTATAACGAGGCTATTTATAACAATAAAACACAAAACCTGACATTACTTTTTACATGAGCTACTTTCAGAACAGGAAATTAGAGGACATATTTCAGGTTGTGTTCGTGACGGAGGGCCACAGGTGGCTTGACATGACGCAGTCCCAAAGTTTTGTGGCAAACAGGGACCTGAGCCTGAAGGTGAAGCTGTGAGCAGTGGCCAAAATAATAAGATGGTGGACAGGCCACTCACTGCTGAAATGAGTTTTCCTTTGCAAGTGACTGGGCTCTGCCGGAGGGACATCATGGGAATATCTGGTGAAATGAGTCATTTGGTCCTTGACACTGTAAGATGAGCAACAGTTTTTGAAAACGATGGCCTATATTTTACGGAAAGCGGAAAGGTTCATTTAATTTGATTTTGCTGGTATTTTAACCTCATTTTTTTTTTATATACATTAAAGTTGAGGCATTTAATTTGAACTCTTTTAATTATTTCAAACCATTTACTATCACTGTCCAGTGAGTTAATATCCTCCTGATGCAGCACCAGTGTTGCTGTATCTGCTACTGTCACACTTTTGAGCATCGGCAGCAGTATCGCTTTCTCCAGTCTCTCTACCCCACAAGAGCTTTATTGATTATCAATATCTATGAATTGATGTTGCTTCTGGGTCACTGCTACATTTCCAAGCGGTCTGTGTATCCGTGTGTGTTGTATATAGTGTAAGTGTCCTTCGCTGCCCGGGTTTAGATGAGCATTCAGGTGTTGTGTGTAATTATACGGCATGAAAACAAAGCAGCAGCAGCTGATTAACTCACAGCACATAGTTCCCAGTCTGCGATTGTGATCGAATTGCCAAGTCGCGCCTACCATCTGTAATCAGGGGCAACGTCAAGGACATCCAACATTTACCTTGACCAACGTTTCTGCATAATTCATTGTTCATTGACCTTTATTTACAGAGCAGTTTTTATACTGTTAATAAGAAAACATGCCCTGATTGTATGATACGGTGCCAGCAGTGGATTATGAGGAGATTCAAACAAAAGGT